TAACTTTCTTCAAAAATAAAAATCATTCAAAAATTCATGATTATTCTTCGTTCACCTTTTTTTTATAATCGTAAGATATGTGCATTATTTGCATACCTATGTCATAAAAATAATACAATTTTGTAATATCCGCGACCAATAAAGAAAATAATTTATTATGTAATGCAAGTTCTATAATTTGTCCTAAGGAATTACAGAAAAATTTCAAAATTTCTTGCTCGTAAAAAATAAAAGTAATATATATAACATATTTTATATTTTTTTAGATTATATCACATAATAGCACAGGGCAACTTGTATTACAATTTATATACATAAGTGTTCTCTACTTGTACATATTTTTGTCTAATTATACCGCACAAGATATTACAGATCACAATGAATACGTATTTGCTACAGTGTAAGAGACATTTGTATCACATTAATACTTAAGTGATTGTTTTACAATATTCTTGTAACAAAATGCTGAGTTAACATAAGCATTCAAAAATAATACTATTCTTGAACGAATATACTATATTTTTATTTTTTCATGTTATGTTTTCATATTATGTTTATTAATTTATGATTGATTTGTAGATATGATGTTGAATGGTATGTGGCTCCATTACACATACAGAAAATGATGTTATTTCTACTGCAAAAGGGTACAAAAGCTTTTCATTTGATTCTCGGTGGAATATTCATTGCGTCTATGGAAAGTGCTGCTACGGTAAGAGATAATATATAAACCTTTTGTTCCCCGCGAATATTATTGTTTAATCGGAAATAATAACATTCACAGTCATTTGACTACTTTAGAATTATTTAGATAATCAACTAAAGTAACTCTATTAAAATAAGTTGAAAATGAAATGTAAATTAGCAGAGCTGAAAGAAATAGAATAATGAACAGCGAAAATTGTTAAATTGATACTATATATTTATTTGGTGTATTGCACTCAAGAATATTATACAATAAATAATATTATACAATAAATCAACCTTCCTCATTTTAAAATATATTGATGGATTAATCTAAAAAAAATGGATAATTTAAATAAGTAGGGAGAGGTCGCCTATATGACATTCCTTAACGTTTAAACAAAATTGTAACAAAAGCACCGAAGGAAGCAGAACATTTGTGTAATTAAATTAAACTTTGGTTCATTAGAAATAAAACGATACTTTTACGAAAATAAGCATTAAATTTTTATTTAAAATTTTTAAAAAAAGTTTATCTGTTGAATTTGAAGACCGAATGACATTGTACCACTTTCTAAATTATACCGCGTGCCTGGGGACGGAGGAAGAGAATGGACGGAACCCTCCGCAATCGTTAATATATTCGAAAGATTCCTGCTCTCGTCCTCTCTCGTAAAGTCAAAGTGAATTTTTTTTAATTAAATCTCGCTTTGCGTGCAAATCTATGAACCGCGCTTCACCTCGGAACAATGAAAGGGAAATTTTAATATTAATAAACAAACGTAATATATCGCTGTAAGAGTCAGAAAAACGTATGCACATGTATAGAATATGTTGATGTATATCATGATGATGTATTCCACAGCTGTGACAGATTTCTTAACTTCAATATAATCAAGTGTTAACTTTAACACTTAATATCTCGTTTCGCAGAACAGCCCCCACTTTTTTCTATCAGATTTTTTTATTTTATGCAAAAACGCGTCAAATGAGCTAATTTCATCCAAATCAGAAGTGGTAATTCTTCTGGATAATTACCAATATCAGTTTATATATTAAAACCTTATTCTTCTCAGTCCTTATATTCTTCAGAGTCTTTATGCGTTATAGGTCTTTTAATAATTCTTTGCGACCGATGCTAATCAAACGTAACGTAACAATGCATACGAGCCGCGATAATAAGAACTCGCGTCGCTGGTGAAAATCGTATGGGTACAATATAAAGACCAATAACTAGAACGATTTATCTAACTCCATCTATTTTTACAAATTTGCATTAACAACATAATTAACAAATATTTTGCTAATTTTTTGAGATATTCGAAAAGAATTTAAATATCGATTGTCACCCTGTAATACACTAAGATTCATTTATCACCTTGTACTGATAGTACTTTAAGTAAATTGTACAAAGACTTAAATCAGACACCAAACAAAATCACTTTTGAATGTCACTCGTAAACAGACGGCTCAAAGACATAACAAAAATGGCAGTTCTTAAGCCATGTTACTAGAGTTACATCAGCGTCATTACTCTTAAAAAAAAATGTTTTGTTTAGAAAATACAATGGAGATACAACTTAACCAATACGGCTTATCCAACTCCTATATTGTCAATCCATTATTTTAACAGACATTCTCCACGCAGCTTCAATATAGTTTCTTACAGATTGAAATAAAAGAAGTTATTTTTGTTACAGTTGATGGGTACTTCAGTATCTTACTTCACTGTTCTCTATTCTACAAATACAAAATAATAATTGCAAAATAATTAAGACAGGTATGTATAAAAGTGAAAAAGTAAGAGAGAGAGAGAAACAAAAAAGAAGAAAAATGTAAATTAATTTTTTTAAACTAAAATCGTTTAGCACTCGGTTTTAAGTGTCGCTTTCTGTAAGTATCGTTTCAATTTGAAAAAAGATAAAAATTATTAAACAAAAAAACCGTACATATTATAAAATATTTATATAAAAAAATATAGAATTTAAAATTGTCATTATATTAATAAGTCACAACATTGAAATGTATGTGTTAGAAAGGCTCGTGCCGCGCACCTGCGAAGTCTATTATCGCACGATTCTCTTGAATTAAGTATGTATTTCTTCATGCAAAATAAATATATGTTGCATTATTGCTATAATCAAATCGACCGCTTAACCATACACATTTTCCAAAAAAGTGAATTACCATCATGTGTTTTTTTATCCGACAATAACACTTCCTGCCGCATTGCATTTAAACAATAGGCAATTCAACTTAAAATTAACACAAAAAAGTATTTTATTATATTTCAAGCACGTTAATAGTTTTAATTGTAATTATATCATTCGATAATCGCATAATAAACAAAATATTAAGTTCTAATTTGTAAAGCGATTTGAATAAAGAAATGAGATCTATCAGAAAGGACAATAGATTTTTCATATTACTGCAATCTTTTTAATTATAACAATTCAATGTTAGTATCATCGAAGATATATAAATTACAATAACATATTATAATAAAAATTTAAAAAAAGTTTAATTTGAAATTATATCAATTTTTTTTTGTACCTACATTAATTTATTGTATATATTTAGAAGAAATAGATAATCTTCAAGAATTTTCTCACTAAATAAAAGAAACACTATTTCTGACATAATATTAGGTCGGGGAAAAAGTTTCTTCGTATTTAAAAAAAATTTTTTGCAAAAGTTTTTCATTTGTTGCAAAATTTTCGTTACAATTATATTATTCGTTAGAGCAAAGTTTTAGCTTTAAGAATCTGTTTTTAAAATTGCGGTGTGATGATTTTTATCGGAGTTACGAGCAATCAAAGTTAGAATGCTCCTTTACTTATTAATTCGCGAATAACTCAGTAACAAAAAATAGGAACATTTTTAAAAAATGATTTTGTAGGAAAAGCTTCGAGCTTTCACGATAGGTAATCGAAAATTTTTGTAAATTTTTTTTGGACACGTGAGAGACCCTCAAAGTGAAAAGAAAAATTTTCATCTTTTTCAGCTCGCAGTTTTTTTGATGTAAAAATTATCAAACTCACAGAAACTGAAAAAATATAGTAATCTTTCGAAAGTAGAGATTTCAAGCTTTAAAACTCTCTTTTAAAATTGAAATTTCATTTATTTTTGACGAAGATATTGTATATACAATTTTGAATTAAAAAATACGAAGAAACTTTTTTCCCAACCTAATATTATACAATGTATAAAATCATTTTTTACAGTTTAGAATATTTATGACTCTAAAAAGCAGATTTACTTAACAATGTTTTCTTTTTGTATTATTATTGTACAATTTACAATCAAATACAATTTGTTTAGTATTAAAATAAAAATTGTACGAGTAAAATAATTATTTATATATATTGTACTATAATAAAAGGTCACACAAAAAGTTCCTGGAATTAATTTGTAACACAAAATAATAATTAATTTTACAATACAGATATAACTAATTTTATTTATATTTGTATAAGATTTCTTTTAAAATAGTTCCTTTGAGTACGACCCTTACAAATTTACTAATGTTTGAAAGCATTCCTAGAAATCATTCTGATACTATTCAGTATTCTTATCGCATTTGCAATTGATATGCTTTGCTGCAATTGATATGCAATTGATATGCTATTACTTCCTCAATACTCAGCAAGAAGCGTTATTTTTTCATGTAAGTCGAAATCTTTCGTCATGTTAGAAATGTAGTGAGAGAAATGTTTGGAAAAATGGATGTACAAAACAATTTGATTTCTTTTGCATGAAACCTGCACATCGATCATTAGATGTCAAGCAGTATCTTGCTAGGCATAATGTCACGAGTGTCACAGACCATCCGCTATATATGTTTTCACGACTTAGTATCGCTTTACTTTTTCCTGTTTCCGCTAAAAAAGTTTTGAAGGTTCGCTTGGGTACAAATATGACTGAAAATGCGTCGAAAGTGATGAAAGACCTGTCGGAAAATGATTTTCAGGAATACTTCCAAATACTAACAAATGTTAACAAATATATACAGCTATCTATTTTGAATGAAATGTGTAAATAAAACGATGATTCATGTTGTAAAATTAACCTTACACTATTATTAATGTCATCTAATTTAATAGACTTTGAATTACATAAATTAAATTCAATTTTATGATACTAAATTAAATTTAATGTATCTGCAACTGTATTATGTATACATATATTTATTAGGAATGTGTGGGTACCTGAATTTCAGAATAAAATTTTTGATTCGGGACCCGAAACTCTATTCGAAACCCGATATTCAATTCGGGATAGTATTTTTCTGACCGCTCCTTTAAATTTTTTAGTTTAAAAACGTTTCTATATATATCATGTAATTAAATGCAAGAATTCATAGAAAAAAAAATCAATTTGTGAAAAATTTTTTTATTTTAAATTAAAGTGTAGAAAGTATAACTTTTCGACGATTTCTAATATTAATTTTTTACTTCGTTATTAGGGGAGACTGGGGCTAATAGTCTCATTTTTCAATTTCGAATTTTTACAGAATTAAGAGATTTATCGAAAAAATGAATTCTACATCAATTACTACATACATTTGACTACCTAATAATATTTTAATAATAAGGGAAAACTGATAACTAATATGAAAAAAAAATGCATTTTTCTAATACATTCCATCTGATTCAATCCCGGGACCGGAGTAATTCGACTAAGATTATTAAAATAAAGATTAATATATTTTAAGCTACATCTTTAGCTACATATTAATGAAACTTTTATAAAAATATATTTTAAACACAAACATTCGCTTCGCAGGGCAAACAATATTTCTTTTTGCAAAATTTATTCATTTCGTGCAAAAAAAATTTGTTAGACTTTTTATTTCTTTATTAAGTAAGAACTACACTTACTATCTAAGTAGGAATCAAATATCTCAGACAACCATGTACGATAATAAAACAAAACTTTAACAATAAAAATATTTATGTAGGTGTACGATTTTTTAAAATTGTGGCATAACTTCTATCATAGATGTGTTCGCAACAAGATGTTACAGCAGACTTAGCGGCAGTCGCTGCGTGCTCAGACACTTTACGCATGTCTCGCGTGTTTTGTTTTTAATGCCTCGATTATTCTATTTATCCCTATATTCAACTGACTATGCCCTACTTCGGTATTTACTTCGGTATTTACTTCGTATGGCCGCAACAATATTATAAGAATCAGGAAATAATCGTTCGCTAGAGACTTGATTTGCAGGAATAGCGAGATACTGTCTAATTACTGCTGCTAACATCGGAAATCGTATATCGTTATACCAATATCATTCCATCAATTTATAATGTCGGTTCATTCAAATACTATATTTTCTACAAAGTATACGCATTTATTTCTTTATATGTGAAAAATGTAAATAAATTTGTTTCTAGACTATCCAAAGCGGCGTGTAAAAACTTCGCTAATTTATACTTCGGTTCACATATATAAAAAATAAAAATAAAAAGAATCATTTCAATAAATGTACACTACTAAAAGCAAAATGTTAATTTTAACTTAAAAATGTATGGTGGAATTTCTAAGGCATGCAAAAATATTAATATTAATTTAACTTCCTGCATGTCTGAAAAAAATTCCACTATACGTCATTAAAATCAACATTTTAGTTTAATTATGTTTACTCAACAGTGTATGCAATTTGGAAAATGTTATACCGTTAATATGTGATAATTGATACTAAATGATATGGTGATACTGAAAGTATCTAGTAAATTTATTTCATTTTCAAATGATAAAATATACAGCTTTAAACTGTCAACAGTTCTTGAAATCTTTGATTTCCTATCGAAAGATGATCTTCGAACCATAGATATAATAATCTGTCATACATTAATGTTTTGCATTCCATAATAGATTCAAAACAGATTTACAAAAAAGGAATATTGCATTCTGTATACACACACGCACGCACGCACTCACGCATGCACATATAGAAGTGATGTTATAAATAATATATTATATATATATATACATGTATATATAAATAATATATATATATGATATATATTATATAGTATATATTATATACATATTATATCATGTATGTATAAATTTTATTTATATATATAAGATATAGTAAAAAGAAATCCATCATTTTTCCAATGGATGGCTTTAGTAATCTGTATCTCGCGTTGTATAAGTATACGATCGGGTTACGCTAGATGGTGTTGGAAAGATAAGATTTCGTATTAAAAAAACAGACAATTCTCAGACAATTTTATGATTGCTTGAGTATTGTTTGAGCGCGCGTCAAAGATGGACACCAGCAAAGAGAAAATACGCCATATTTTACAGTTTTTCTTCGATAAAGGCGAAAACGCAAGCCAGGCGGCTGAAAATGTAAATAGTGTTTATGGTTCTGATACTATAATAGCTAATCACGCGCAATTTTGGTTTCGTCGATTCCGTTCCGGTAATTTTAATATCAAAGATGCACCACGCTCTGGAAGGCCAATTGTCGAAAATATCGATAAAATAATGGAAATCATCGAATCCGACCGTCATGTAAGCACTGTTTCAATTGCCCAGGAGCTAAACATTGCACAAAAAACGGTTTGGAACCACTTGAATAAGGCTGGATACAAAAAGAAGCTCGATGTATGGGTGCCAAACGAGTTAACGCAAAAAAACCTCATGGACCGAATTTCCATCTGCGAATCGCTGCTGAATCGCAACAAAATCAACCCATTTCTGAAGCGGATGGTGACTGGTGATGAAAAGTGAGTCATTTATGACAACGTCAAGCGAAAACGTCGTTTATAACACCACTATGGATAACGTTACACAAAAGTATTAGGTGTTGGAATTAATTCGTAGCGTTTTTTAATGAAAGAATGTTATTTATTTCACATGAGCATTAAAAAATACATTAATGAAAGTACTTCCCATCACTTGTAAAACGCTACGAATTAATTCCAACACCTAATATATAAAACATAAATAGTTTCAATATAAAGCGTTATACACATAAAATATTAATAAGATAGAGATTACAATACTTCAAGAACAGGGCTGGGATTTAGTTACACTTTTCGGCCGAATTTCAGCTTGGTTTCTGTTCCTTATTCCAACCCGCGCAGTCTAAATGTTGATTCGATATTTAGGCTGCGCGCGGGTCGGTGAAGTAAGGGGCAGGAATCAATCTGAAAGTCGGCCAAAATGTGCAACTAAATCCCAGTTTTGCTTTAAGAATAAACACATTTCATTGATACTTAAGATTAAATTAATGACCAACACTATTTTAAAAGATCAAGCGTCCCTTGTGAGTGTACGCACTAGAATAAAACGCATAATACGTATAATAAAAAGCGATCAGTGCGCTTGCGCGACCATCTATCGAGTTTCTCTATGCGAATGTTTTCCCATGGGATATAAACATCTGTTAAATTTCTTTCAATGTTAAATCGATCATTTAATTATGTTTTTCTTATAAAACAGTGATGAATTCTAAGTACTTTAATCTTATGACATTATTGAATTTCGCTTTGTATATTAAGCAATCGAAGTTAAAATTTACTAAAAGATAAAAACTGAAATATTTTCAACCAACTGTTAGTTTAATAGAATCGGAAAAAGAGAATAGGCAATTTCTTATTTTTTACGGTTAAATATACTTTAGTGTTACAAAGATGATTTGTCTTGAAACGAAACACTTCAGGCTCAATAGATTTCTTTTGCTGGCGATTGGTTTATGGCCTCATCAGAGATCGAAACTTGCTCAAATTCAATTTATTGTACTTTTTACTATTTTAACAACTTTTATTGTATTTCAGGTGATAATAAGTCATTTTTCATATGAAACAATAATTAACAGGAGAGATTAGAATTCGAAACTTATTAATTACTCTACGGAATTATTCTTTAAATATGAAATTTCCAAAGACTTACTTATTTACAGTTTACAACATTTTTAACTTCAAAATGCACTGCAAATCTCATTATCAATGTTCTGTCTTCCGCATTTTTCTTCATTTCCTGTGCAATTAAATATCATTCGTTTTGGATTAACGCCAATACTGTAAGTCAAATATTTATTATACAATTTTTCCAGACAAATATTCGTGATAAATAAATCTTGAAATATGACATTTTTTAAATATTTTATACGAAAACTGCATAAAATATTATTGTAATAGATGAGAGCTTCATTAGAACAACTTCAGCATGTTTGTAACGAAATAAAAAATAAAAACGAAATTGCTATTATTGAAAAGTATGGCCGTATAGGAAAACATCAAACGAGAATAATTACGAGTAAGATAGTAAATATATGTTTTCATTTTAATGAATTATTAATAAATGTACAAAAATTTATAAAACTTAAATAAATTTTACTTAAATAAATTCTTGTTTCTTATACATATGTATATCATTTGTTTTCTAATTTAATGTTAGTTTTTGCCGCATGTTGCATATCTATTTATCTCTTCCTGCCAATGGGGCTTCATATATCTGATGTAATTCTGGTAATAAACAATTCCCGATCACGCTCTGCAGCGATTTACATTCCAACAGAATATTTTGTTAATCAAGAAAACTTTTCCTACTTAATTCTTTTGCATACAAACGCAGCTTCGTGTATAGGGGCAATTGCAATGGTAGCAACAAGCACCATGCTGATAGTGTACCTTAAACATATTTGTGGAATGTTTAGCATTGCAAGGTAGAATTCAATACAATCACTTGTTTTATAAATGAAATCTATTCTTTATTTAATCAGATCTATCTCAATCAGATCTAAAAAAAAATTAAGGACTTACAGAAAAATATATGTATTCATATAGTTTCCGTATTAAGAAGGCAATGGCAATTAATATGCAACAAGATGTTACTGAAGAAAAAATGATTATAATTTATAAAGGAATAATCTGTGCGATAGACATTCACCGTAAAGCTACAGAGTCAGTACACATTCTACGATATCTGTATAACGTGCTGTACTAATTTTTGTTTTGTTTTTGAAGGTTTTCTCAAGTCTTTATAAAGAGTTTCGAAGGATCTTTCTTCTGCTTAATAGCGGCTGGTATGGTTTGCTTAACCAGCACTCTTGTTCAAGTAAGTTTTATTTTTTGTTATTAAACGCGCGTATCTTTTCATGAAAGATATAGTTTTCATAATATTAAGATTAAATAAAGAATCTTTAATTAAAACAATATGAAAAAATAATTTTCTTTAAGAATAAAATCATCTAAAAATTCATGATTATTCTTCGTTCACCTTTTTTTTGTAATCATAAGCTATGCATTATTTGCATAAGTATGTCATAAAAATATAGTTTCCTAATATGTGCAATCAATAAAGAAAATAATTTATTATGTAATGCCAGCTATATAATTTGTCCTAAAGAATTACAGAAAAGTTACGAAGTTTCTTGCTTGTAAAAAGTTAAAATACACATAAAACATATGTTTTTATATTTTTTAGATCATGTCATATAATAACACAGAACAACTTGTATTACAATTTATGTACATAAGTGTCGTCTACTTGTACATATTTTTTTCCAATTATTTTGCACAAGATATTACAGATCACAATGAATACGTATTCGCTACAGTGTAAGAGACAGTTGCATCGTACGTTCATACTTAAGTAATTTTATAAATTCTTGTAACAAAAAGATGAGTTAACAAAAGTATTCAAAAATAATATTATTCTTGACGAATATACGACAATATATACTATAACAATTTATACTATAACATATATTTTTATTTTTTCATGTTAGGCTTTACAATAATTTATTATTATCATTTTTTTGTAGATACAATGTTGAATGGTATATAGCTCCGTTACACATACAGAAAATGATGTTATTTTTACTGCAAAAGGGTACACAGGCTTTTCATTTGATCCTCGGTGGAATATTCATTGCGTCTATAGAAAGTGCTGCTACGGTAAGAAACATATACAACCTTTGTTGCCACAACCCACGAATATTATTGTTTAATCGAAAATAATAACATTCACAGTCATTCAATATTTTGACTACTTTAGAATTATTTAGATAATCAACTAACGTAGCTCTATTAAAATAAGTTGAGAATGAAATGTAAATTAGCTTAAAAAAAATAGAATAAAGAACAGCGAAAACTGTTAAATTGTTATTATATATTCATTTGGTGTATTGCACTCAAGAATATTATACAATAAATCAACGTTCCTTATATGAAAATATATTTATGGATTAATCCGAAGAAATGGATAATTTAAATAAGTAGGGAGAAGTCGCCTATATCACATCCCTTAACGTTTAAACAAAATTGTAACAAAAGTACCGAAGGGAGTAGAACATTTGTGTTCTAAATTAAACTTTCATTAGAAATAAAACGATACTTTTACGAAAATAAGCATTAAATTTTTGTTTAAATCATAAATTTTAAAAAAAAATAGCTTTCGATACGATTTGGAGACAGGATCATTAAAATGTACCACTAGATTCCTAAATCATATCGCGCCCAGGGACGGAATAAGAGAATGGGCGAAACCCTTCGCAATCGTTAATACATATATGTGCGAAAGTTCCTGTTTTCCTTCCCCCTCGGAATACTAAATAATTTTCGTAATTTTAAATTAAATCTCGCTTTGCGTGCAAACTTAGAAACCTATTTAGAACCTAAAGAATTTATGTATCAATTATCGCCCTGTAGTACACTAAGATTCATTTACCACCTTGTATTGATAGCACTTTAAGTAAATTGTACAAAGACTTAAATCAGACACCAAACAAAATCAATTTTGAATGTCACTCGTAAGCAGACGGCTCAAAGACAAAACAAAAAATGACAGTTCTTAAGCCATGTTAGCCAAGTCACCTTTAAGTGTCATCACCCTTAAAAAAAATGTTTCGTTTAAGAAATACAATGGATATACGATTTTACCATCGACACAACCATCGAACTTCTATATTGTCCTTCCATTATTATAACAGACATTCTCTACACAGCCTCGATATAGCTTCTTGCAGAATGAAACAAAAGAAAAATTTTCATTACAGTTGATGGGTACTTCAATATCTTACTTCACTGTTCTCTATTCTGCAAGTACGAAATAATAATTGCAAAATAATTAAGATAGGTATGTATAAAAGTGAAAGAGATATGAGAAAGTAAGAGGGAGGAGGAGAAAGGGAAGAGAAATGTAAACTAATATGAAAATTGTTTAGCCCTTGGTTTTAGGTGTCGCTTCCTGTAAGTATCGTTTCGTCAAGAGGTAAAAATTATTAAATTATACAAAAATTGACATATTACAATTTATCAAAAAATGTAGAATATAAGTTGACATTATACGTTATCAATAATTCACATGAATGGAATATATTATGTTAAAAGAGATCGAACCGCGTCTGCGTAATCTATTATCACATGATTCTCTCACACGAACGAAGTATTTTTTTATGGAAAATAAACACCTGTTGCATTATTACTATAATCAAATCGACCACTTAATCATACCTCTTCCAGAATAAAAATGTGAATTACAATCATGTATTTTTTCTATCTGTCAATGATATTTCGTTGTGCGTTGCATTTAAATTAAGTGGTGAAATTAATTTTTGCTGCTCGCTGCTGAAGGTTCTGGCTCCAACGCTGACGAATTTCGACGATAAAATCATATGTGTTTAGACATCACTAAAAATGATTCAATCTTAACAGGTTAAATTTCTCGACGCCAAAGAGATTTTCGACTGAAAATGAACCGCGATAAGCTGTTTTTCAGACATGTGCTTCTTCACTACTTCGACCTCAAGAAAACCGCAGCTGAAGCGCATCGCTTATTATCCGAAGTGCATAATTATAAAATTCCATCGGAAAGAACATATATAGAATTTGATTTGAACGCTTCCAAAACGGTGATTTTGACGTGAGAAACAAAGAACGTTCAGCCGAAAACAACGCGGAAAAGGAATATTCACGGGCATAAAACTTTGCTCTGCATTTGATAAGACCAAGAGGATATGTGCTGTATTACGAGCTCTTGCGTCCAAATGAAACTGTTAAAGCCATTCCACACAACTTGCATAATCGCATAAACATATGCATAAAGAAAATCATCCAATCGTATTTTACGTTTGTCTTTGTGGAAATGTGATTGGATAATTTTCTTTATGCATATGGTTATGCGGCTATGTAAGTTTGTGTGGAATGGCCTTTACAGCTGATTGCTACAAACAGCAATTATGCCGATTGAATGACGAGTTAATGCAAAAAAGATCATCCGTGGCTAACAATCGAAAGTCATTTTGTTGCATAATAATGCTCGATTTTTACATATTGCGAAAAGCGTGAATCAGGCACTTTTACAATTTGAATGGGAAATTCTCTCGCATCCAGCATACTCTCCAGACTTGGCACCGTCGGATTACTATCTCTTCTCCGATCGATGCAACACACACTTACGGGCACACACTTTTCCAGTTACGAAGAAGTTCAAAAATGAGTAGATGAATGGATTGCCTCGAAAGACACCGCGTTCTATCGTTGTGGGATGGCCCTGTTACCAGAGAAATGAGAAAAAGTAGTAAAACATGGAGGAAATTACTTTGATTAAGGTATTCATTCATCTTCCCTTCGGAACAAATCAATTTTAGAGACCAAAAAACGGCAGAAATTAAGTTCACCATCTAAATTAAGCAATTCAACTTCAAATTTATCTATATAAAAAATATTTCATTACATTTCAAGTACCTTATTTAGTTTTAACTATATGATTAAATAATTCAATGATTTTCACATAATAAACAAAATATTAAGTTTCAATTTGTATGTATCCGATTTAAATAATGCAACGACATGTATCAGAAAGAACAATAGATTTC